ATTGTGTTTTTTATGTATGACTGGGCGTGTTGTATGTTGTATGCTCTCTAGTGCCAGTTTCCTCAATGTGCTTATGAACAGCAATGTGACGTCAGATGCACCACCTTTCTTTTGGCTTCGCCTTCAGTTCTTTGATTTGACTTAGCAATGCAACAGAGAAGTCTGAAACGCATCTGAAACTCACTGGCGTGGTAATTTAAAGATTTGCTTGGGTAGTTGCGGATTGTTGTCAACGTAATTTTATGTTAGTTTTGTGCATCACTAGTAGTCCGGTGATCCGCGGGATGGGCTTAACCACGGATTTGATGATCCTCTCATTTTTTGGTAAGTTCATTATTTTCTTTGATTTCGATGAGCTTTGATTTTCCATGATATCTTTGATGAGTGCGTGATATGTCTCCGAATCTCCGATGAGTTTTCCCAGCTGCTCTCTTGTTGGTCCGTTTTTCTTTGATATTGCATTTTTATTAACTTGTCGGTGAGTAAAGTGTTAACAACTTGATTTGAGATGCCTTCGGTCCTTTGACTTCGGAGCGTGTCAAGTGGTCTGTTCCTTAGACGTGCAAGATGCCGGCAGATTTTCCTTTGGAGCTGGTGTCGTTTTTCCAAGCTGAGCAAACAATTTCANAAATCCTGGCTTCAACTGAGGCGATGAAATCAGTATTGTTCGCGTATGCACCGTTGTATTATATATAGATAGATATATAATCCTAAATAATAAGTTTTACAAAAAGTGTTGCAAAGTTCATCAATGTACATTGGGCAGCTTCTTTGTTTTTGATGAAACTGTTCAATTTTTCCATTCATTGGAGGCGATGCTGTAGTTTCCAATTCCCACGATATATGGTTTCAGTGATGGAACTTTGGATTCCCACCACTATAGAATTCAATGTCTTCTAATCTTCTTCGGATTTGAGTGTAAAACAAAATTCTATGCTCTTACTGACAGCTGACCGATAAACTAGTTTTTGTCGTTATGTACATTACGAAATATGTCATGGAGATGCGTTTATTGCTAGGCTTACAGGTAACTTGTTCACGTCTTCCAGCATCCAACCACACTTAGAAGCTAACTCTTGTGATCTGAATGAAACCTTTCAGAAATCTTTCTTTAGTGGGTTGTTGGACGAATTCCGGGGCTCTGTCCACCGGTAGCTCATAATCTTAGAGGCAATTACTTGACCAAGCCCAGTCACCATTTCGCGTCCTTGGTAATGAAGTTGAAGTGTATTCGATAACCTTTAGGAAAAGATGACGACCCTTTGTGATAAAAAATCTTTCAAACGAATATAAATACATCTGTAGTTTAGGTAACTTGATATAGTTGTAAATAATAATAATTACACTGAAAACAATAATTGTAACTTAGGTTTGGGGTTTCACTGTGAAACATTCCAAGAAAGTCAGTGATCAGCGGCAATCCATTCCATGCTAGATGCGACGAAAAAGCGATGCTACCGCGAAATGCATTATATTTTTAGATTGCTTTATAATTTTGTCGCGGTCTAAGATTAATATTTATAATTGCTTTTTCCACATATTCTCTGTTTTATTGGGCCAAAGTTTCGGAAACGAATTGTTTTATGAAAAGCATTTGTGATTAATGTGACATTGCATTTGACCCCCTGCTCCAAACACGAGCGTGTGCACAAGAGTGTGTATTTGGATTACAATTATTAATCGGTCACGAGTGTAACTCTTGTCTCGAACAGCTGACCCTGAAAAACCTACAAGGAAACAGTGTTTCAAAAATTAACGATGTGCGAAATTTCGATCATATCTGAGGTCATGTTACTGCAAAACAAACTTAAAACTCTGATAACCTCAGACATTTGTAAATCTTTAATGTGTTCAGAGTTACGAAAAACAAACTTCTAGGTTGAGTAGAAGAGAAAATGTTTATTCAAATTTCCGATGAGAACTCACTACGTAAATGGAATTGCCCTATTAGCTTCTGGTTGACTAAACGCTAAGTTTGCCATTGCGTTCTTCGAGAAGCCTGACGGAAAAAGCTCAAAACAGTGATCACGCCGTCAAATTTTTGCTTTGTGCTAATAGTTAAAAAATGCTCGCCGTCATCTTAAAAGCAAATTATGCAGGAAGAAACAACCTGTTTTCCGATGATTCCCGATCTGGTCAATGCAATTAAATAACGGCATTTTGTTGTCAGATTTAATCTACGCTGCGTCAAATTAGGTACAGAAAGCATGTCACATGTATGATTAACGTCTCAACAAAGTCGGAGTCAGGAGCAGCTCTTTATCCCCAACGTGACAAAAGTGGAGACAACTGCATGATACACACCTAGAATGATGTGATAGCAATTTACTTTACCTGGAAAACTTCTAAGAAAAATTTATCGCTTTGAGAGATATTTTCGATCAGATTATTTATAATTAACTAGTTAATAACTACTAACTGTAGAAACTTCAAATCTGCCAAATATCCATTCGCACAAGTAATAACTAATTAAGTAGTATGGCGGTCATGGCGAAAACAAAAACAGTGGAATGGCAGAAATTAAGCTGGTATCCCAAAATGGAGCCATTCAGAGGAGAGGCATTGATTTATATGTAGCCATTAGGGTGGTCAGGGACAGCCAATGTACCAATAACCTGAACCCTTTGCTCACGGAAGAATTCGAACAGATAAAGCACATAAATCATATAAATTAAAGCAGTACTGGTTAAAAGAAGAATCGAACAGTATCTTCAGGCGAAATTTTAGGGAATGGTCGTTGCTAATGTAAAATTCCTTAGGTTGTACATTTAAGTCGATAAAGAAAAAAGATTTACGCGCCATTCTATACATCAGTTCAGTAGGAAAGATTCAGGAACTTCTGACTGTCGATCAATCACAGACGACGAATTACTGTGAATGAAAATCTAATGCACAGTGAGAAGGTCTTTGAGAAAGTTTGGGATACATCACCTCCGTTGAAGTTAATCACTGTATATTTTGTTTTTATCCATTTTGATAATAGTCATCCTGGCTGTTAGCTGTTATTTCTCACGTCAGCCCTCAGTCCTTGCTTTAGCATACAGGTGGTCGGATAGTCGTCCTTCTTTGTTCTCCTACTCAATGAATAGTGGTTAGGGGTTAGTCTCGGGGCTCGCTGAATCTTTCCTAACCGACAAACAGCACTTATTCTTTGCACTTTCATAATGGTCGTGTCTACCGCTATGCGCTTATTTAATTGGAATTTATTTACTCGTAAGAGCTTTCTTTAGGCGACCGTGACGATGAAACTTTGATTACTTTGAGTATTCTTGTGAGTAGCATTGTAAGCTGAACTCCATTGTCAACTCGGTGTCAGCTGCTCTATTCTTATTTCTTCCATTTAGGAGCCTAACATGTGGATTGCACTCGGGTCACAGCCTAGAGTTTAATGTTATCTCTTTCGATACTACGCGGTAAAAATACGAGCAAAAAGATTGTTGTTCTTAGTCAACCCTTTTTCCTAAATTTATCTATTTGTGTTAAACTTACTTTCTTATTTACTTTTCGTTTTGATTGTGAATGTGCTGGTATTATGCCGGTACCAAAGCGGGTGCAAATTTATTTAAAGAAATATTTTTCAGACGATGATAAGAACTACTGAAAGTAATGGTTCGTTGTCCCATCAGTACTCTCAACCTATTGTCGTGTAAGCACAAATAAATTTCACACATTCCGCAT